GATTTCATCATGCAATACCATCCCAAACACACAACCAGTAAAGATGACAAAGGTAAATTATCAGTCAAGAATTTACTTCCCCAGAGCTCCACAGAAATTACTAAAGGAGTGTGCGATCACTGTGACAGAAAACAGAACAAAATGTATAAAGTAGAGCTTTGACTATCATTTAAGAAGCCCGGAGAACTATTCCTGAAGACTACTTAAAGGAATGAAAGGAAAGCTTGCCTAAGAAAGTTCAGACTACGTCAAAGGATAAGTGGTGCTCATACCAAATATCCACATCTGTTTGCACATGTTTCAATAAATGATGGCACTTCTCATTTTCCTAGCAAACAATAAAGAAATGAGGGGTGGCTCTGCACTCTTCTACAGTACTGTAGTTAAGCGATGACTAACTTTGAAGTATTTTTCTGATGTTTTTTCTTCTTGCATTTTTACTCACTCATTCTTCTTTTCACCTACTGGTTAAATGTTTTACAGGACTTCACTCTAAAATCACTTTCATTTGCAATAGAAAATCAGAACAGTACAAATACTCATTATAACTGATGATAGATATTTAAGTCACACAGGGGCATTTAAGTTTTACAAGAGTGGAATTTTATTTGCTGTGTAATTTGTGGATTTGTGTGTTTAACTTTGCATTGACGTGAACGTTTCTTTTATCCTTAGGAGAGTCTTTATGGATAGCATTTACATAGCTTTTAAAAATCTCTTTTCCAAAGAGCCTCGCTATGTGTCTGCCCGTTCCCACATTTATACACATTCACACAGTGATGACAGAGAGCTTTCATAAAATTACTCATCAGGAGGATTTTGAGCTTCGGTGTCTTGCTCAAGGACACTTTGAAATAAAAGCACGATTCACTCCAGTAGCTAATGCAATAAAAAAATGGAGCCACTAATTATTGGCGATAGTTTGTTATAAATGCTGACAAATGATACTGTATTGATATTCTGGAGCTTGAATCACAACAGTCATGTTTGCGAGCTTTAAGGTCGTGTTTTGGAAATATATATCACAGTCTTAAGTCACATCTCTTTTAACAGTAATAATGGAAATGCAAACACAAAAACATCACTGCCAAATTCTTTTTTCTTCTAGGTGCATGCTGAGGAAATTTCTGGCAACAACGGATATGTGGAACTCTCCTTCTGTGCCAAGAAGCTCGATGATAAGGTGAGAGGAGTACACGTTTTTGATTGAAACACCAACACAGTTGTTTTATTAGACGCGGTTTAGAAGCATTAGATGGTGAGTAATATGAGAATCCTCCTGTCATGATACTGTATAGGCTAAGAAATCCATCCACAGTAATTCAATGGCATTAAATGTATGCTCACAGAAGGGAATATTTTCTCACAAAAAATCATGGTGTTATATACAAATTATATTAGTATTCAGAATTATTTGTGTTATTAAATGTTGATCTACTTTAAAGCTGCATATCACTGACCTTAGCTTCTCCTGGACTCATGCTGTCAGACTTTGCTGAAGGCATGTTTCAATCAAAAAGAGAGCGGGAGTTTACATCCAGTTACAACTCTGATGATCTGTAGTCACACCATGTTCTCAGGAACGAGCCTCGGGACTCAAGACTCACAGGTTGCCCTTTGATTTCCAGCTCTATTTGGAAAAAAATTCAAATTTTCTACAGCATGTGCATTTACTTTTGGAATTCCACTCTGAATTTTACCGCCGCACTGACAGTGAAATTGAACCCGACTCCAACACATGGAGTACAAAATAATACAAATAAATCCTTGTTGTGAAGTCCATTTTCTCCTCCTCGTAATGGTTGCCCCAAGTCTCCAGTTTCTGTTGAAATGCTGGAGAAGCCACTCGAACCCAAATAAATTACTTTTAAGAAATGGTGTGCAATCACTTGCCACTCGGATGCAAAAGTGTTCATTTGCTCTGAACAAACAATATAGACTGTGATTAGATACTGATTTTATATAGGAGCAAAGACAATTTAATTTTGGTTCCAAAAATAACCCATTCTATGTTAGCGAGGAGACACCTTTTGGAAGAACTGAACATCATTTATTGAGATACAGAAGTCAATTAATAACCTATTTGGTGATTAGACTCTGAGGAAACATCATAGAAAGTAGTCCCAGCAGTGATAGGACAGGAACCAATGGAGTCTGGATGCTGATGGTGGTGAAGACAAAGATGAAGACAGACATGCTTGGATGCAGCTCTGAGTGACCAGTGTGAGGTGGAGATGGAGAGATGGCGGATTGGGATGTAAAACTCATTTTACACCGTGGGCCACGTAAAGCCCACTTTATCATTTACTTTGGTGTAGATAAGGGGAGATCTTTATCAGCAGAGAAGCTGCAAAACTTTTAAGAATACAGTTAAAAATCCCAAATTTACATCTTGCTTCACATTTTCCAGTGGGCCTGATTAGAGTCTTTATGGGGCCGATTCTAGCCCTGGGGCCTTATGTTTGACAACCCTTGACTAGACTCATGATGTTGACAGGATGGGAAAGGGGAGCACTCAGGAAAGCAGACAAAAGATCACAGATCTTTCTTGTTGAAGTTACATATAAGCTTGTTTTTTTAGGATTGTGGGCATAACTTGGTTTGGATATAAGAGGCAAGCTGGTTGTAAGAAATTTTCCGTCATTTTCACTTCCGAAGTGAAAAACAAAACATGCCTCTGAACAGTGCTGGCATCTCTAAAAAAAAATTGCATTTCTTCCGTGTCCTCTGCTCAGATTGGGAGGAGATAATGTTGCAGATATTTGTGTTCAAGCTGCGGTAGGCAGGCTGTCGTTGGCATGAGTTGACACCAAAAATCCATAGCAAGTTTTCAGCATATTGTAATTCAAGTGCTCAGAGACAGAACGAGAATGTAGACTTTGGTCGGTGCCAGCTGTCTTCGGAGCAGATCAGGATAGTGTTGTTGTGGTGCAATAGGTTAAGTTCAAGGCTTTCACCTGAGAGATGTTTTTTTAAGTGATACTCATTAGGGATGCTTAATGTAGAGCTGCAGGAGAGGTGTTGTCTATTTTGAAATTGTGGTGTTTTTTATTAGATAGAGAAAAAAGAAAAGAAGTTACGATTGGAAACCTTCTTTATATTAATAAGGCAATTTTCCCATTCGTGAAACAGTAGATACCCCAATCAGCACAATGTATACATTTGACCATTTTCTTCACAACTGTAAAGGTTGCAAAGCAAATATTGGAAAGAAAACCCCAACAGTCAGATAAATGGCTTTGAGCAAGCACTTGGCAATGGTGGGGAGGAAGAGCTTCCTATTAGCAGGAAGAGACCAGGCTCAGGGATGGGCAGCTATGTACAGCTACCAGCTGGGATGACAGGAGAAAAACAGTGAACACAGAAAGGCAAGAACAAAAACTGTGGCAGAAGCAAACTTAGTATATTTATATTTATCAAGCTCACATACAGAGGTACATGTGGAGTCATGTCCCTAATCACATGGTCAATGAAAAATGTTTCATGTAATCCAACATATTGTAGGTTATGCAGGTACTACAAACAGATTCTGGGCATCCTCCAAAAGAACCTCATGAATGCCCTGATTTTTAAACTTCCATAAACTTATCACAGCTTATCAGTGTGGAGCACTTGAATAAATTGCACTGTTGAGACTCAATAAGAAAGCCAACAATCAGTATGGGTCAAGATGCTGTAACAAAGGTTTTTATTTCAAGCTGGGTTACTACAGCTCGTATAATCAATCCTATAAAAAAAAGCAAACATCAGAAGTTAAGGAGTCTCGCCATGTTGGTGTGGCAATCAGCAAACTGATACGCTGGGAGTGTACTTGGACTGAATGACCCACACTCCACTCAAAGTAAACCCACAACTTCCAGCATAAAATACCCAAAGTAATACCAGTACCACTATAAACATAAAATATTATCAGAAAACAATAACCTCCCACAGTAGGAGCCACAGCACTAAATACAAATAGAAGCTGTTTATTAGCACTGCGCTAGAGTTTACCGAAAACAAGAAATAAAATGATGTAAAGTGAACCCTTGTTGGGCAACCTTCACTGCACCTTGAGACTGCCACTGGTCCAGGATTGTGATGAAAGTTAAAAAAAACGAAACTACTTATATACTAATTATTATTACATTCACGCCCCAGCACCACAGGTTGCACATACATCCCTACGGTAAAATAATCCCAGCTGAAACGAGCTAATAAAGGTAAAACAGCAGGAATAAAACTAACCCACCTAATGAGCCTCTCAAGGGGTCAGGTGCTCTCACCTTGGGCCCCTGAATTGTGCCTGGGTCTTCCTGCTACAAGTGACAGGATGTCTTCTTAAGTATTTTTTTAACAAAATAAATTAGCTGTGACAGGCAGCTTGCATATAGCAAATTATCTAACAAGGACAACAGATGATGACTGAAGCATGACTCTTTCTAATGAGCTGCTCATCAGTTGCATCCCCTCAACCTGCTGTAAATACTGAATGTCAGCCTGTTCACGTTGCTGAGCAGAAGGATTAATTAGGAGGCATGATAGATGGATGGTAACTGCTAATGATAAACATTACAGTTATTGTAAACCTGAAATTGAATTTTGACATGTTTGCCTCATGAGTCCATGCTACTGATGCCACTGGCTAGTGGTTGTCATGGCAACAAAGTAAGGATCTTACAGCTCTTTTTTTTTTTTTGTTGCTCCTATCCCTCAGGAGATGTATCTGGCTAATGTAGCGGGAAATGCATCTTTAACCGTCTCATTCGCTGTACACAAAACTCCCCCTCACCCACCCAGCCGACACAGGCACACAGAACGACACAGACACGCAGACGCACACACAGTAATTATTTGTTTTCCTCCCAGAAGAATCAATTGACCTCAATAATCAGTGTTGCCTCTGCTCTCAGACGCCTGAACTTGAGACTCAGGGGATGATTCAAGGCTACCACAAATAACTATAAAAGATGCAAAATGTTCCACTTGTTTTCAGTTAATTGGGGCATTTACTAACAAATGGACACAAACACTAGTGAGTTGATCTGAATTCATCGTGTTCATTACAGCCGATCGCCGGGGCTGTTTAAAATGCACTTTACGCAAGTTGCAACACGCAAAGGAAAGCGCAAATGCTTTGCTAATGAACTTCAGCCATAGCATGTACAAGCTATTTGCTGAAGGAAAATGTCAAAACCTGAGTGAAAAATCTATGGCATGACTTAGAAGCTTATAAAAGATCAACCCTTTCCTCAATGATGTCTTATTCAAAAATTCCACCACGCTGTGTCTTCCTGACCTTTAATCATGCAGACAGTTACCTGACAATTATTCCTCCTGCAATCAGCAAACGATGAATTGGTGTCTGCAGACATTTGTACAAATCACCTGGACAAATACTAAAAGTATACTGAGATATCACAAGCACCCAAGCCCGGGTGGAAATCGTCACAGCTTCATTGTAAACGCTAGCAAACGCTTGAAGAGACTGCAAATTGAATTAAACCAAATCCTTTCTGTTAAATGTGATATTTCATCTTTTGATCTAACAGACATTGACCTCTGCGAGAGTCCATGAATGAATTAAGCTAAAAAAGAAAACTAGAGAAATACTAGTTTTATAGACTTTTCCTTTTCTGATTTACAGCAAGTAAAGGAAGAAGAATCTTTCCTGAAACTGGTTGTTTCTCACCTCCAGATCTAGTGGGTTAGTCAGTTTTGTCTTCTCTGTTTCTGCAGGATCTCTTCAGCAAGTCGGACCCATTTTTGGAAATCTATCGAATCAATGACGATGAAACCGAGCAGCTTGTTTACAGAACTGAGGTAACCTTACCACATTCCCACCTCGGTTTCATCGACAGCTTTTAATGTGTTTCTAACACTTTACTTCTGTTGTTATTGTACTTGTTCTCTAACAGGTGATTAAAAACAACCTGAATCCAGTGTGGGAGCCCTTCAAAGTGTCACTCATGTCCCTGTGCAGCTGCGATGAAGACCGGAAGCTCAAGGTAGGGAACGTTTTAGAACTGTGACTGCAAAAATCACAGTCAGTGAGTCAGAAACTGCATGACCAGCGTGATTCAGCTGGGGTCAGCAAACAGGGCAGAACACTGAAAATACATCACTTTGATTTGTATATGGATTTTCTGTGAGTATACCTGGGATATATGAATGAGTTGTTGCATGTCAAAAGTAGTAAACAATGTCTGTATTTGTGTGTGCGCCACAGTGCCTAGTGTGGGATCATGACTCCAGGGGGAAGCACGACTTCATTGGCGAATTCTACGCCACTTTCAGGGAAATGCAGAAAATTTCCAGTGGAAATAAGGTCAGTGAATGGAGAGGTGGAGCAGAGGGGAGGAGAGGGGAGAGACAGCTGTGTAACAATTTTATCCTTTCCCAATGTGCCTCTGATTTTTCTCTGCTGAAATCCAGCACACATGGAAGGAAAAAACAATGTCAGGCTGCTTTGATATGTTCAAAATGCCACAAGTTGTTGCTTTTGTTCTTTGTCTTTCACTTGCTTTTGTTCAAGGTGTCGTGGGACTGTATGAATCCTAAGTACAAACAGAAGAAGAGAAACTATAAAAATTCAGGAGTTGTCATTCTCACTGACCTCAAGGTAGGAAACTCCTGCAGGAACATGCTTCAGAAGAGGCAACACACTAGAGAGAATCAGTCAGTGTTTCATTCTCTCAGTTTACAAAGCAGTATAGACACTGCTGCTGTTTTTGTTGCTGTTTTATAAAGGGAAGACTTTCCAGAGCATTTTTAGTCTCCACTACAATTTCAGCATACAGCACAACATTTTTTTTCTTACCTTTATAGCGAACAGATTTGTTGTGCTTTAATGACCTGGTGATATCATAACTTCTGCGGTTTTGCCTGAAAGATTTGTGTTTTTCTGCCTCGCAGCTTCACAGAGTCTACTCCTTCTTAGACTACATCATGGGAGGATGCCAAATTCACTTTACGGTAAATTAAACCGACTGTCTTTAATGACGCTTCGCTGTCACTGAATGCTGTTAACTGCAGCCTAGTTTCATGACTTACATATTGTGCTCGGCACACCGATCATGTTGCTACTCGATGAAGCCTTTGGTATGTTTCCTTCTTTCCTGACCTTTTTGTTTGTGCACACATAGCTTTCTTGGAGGCAGTTTCATGAAATAAATTCAAATGTTCTGTAACTCTTGCCCTTTGCTTTGCCCTCTGTAGTGCACATTCTCGCTCTCTGGCTGGATCAGAGAAGCAATGCATGTTAATCATGAGGACTGCTGTGGTAGATGCAGTTCTCCCTTGTTGAAATAGCTAGCTGCTTGGATCTACTGTGTATGGGAGGTGATGCTGCTTCAGTCTATGTGGGCGTAAAAAAAAAAGCAAGTTCTTACCTCTGATCATGTAATTTATACTGCCATTAGGTTTATTTCAGGCTCCCTCACTCATAATGGCTCGGAATATAATAAGCAGCCAAGAAACCAAGTAAAGGTCTTTGCAGGAAGTCAAGTGCCAAAAGAAAAGCTTAACTGATTCTGATGAACTGTTCATGTTGCACACTTTGAAATTTCTTTCTCTTCCCACCAGGTTGCCATTGACTTCACAGCCTCCAATGGAGACCCCAGGAACAGCTGCTCCTTGCACTACATCAACCCTTACCAGCCCAACGAGTACCTAAAGGCTCTGATAGCTGTGGGGGAGATCTGTCAAGACTATGACAGGTTTGTCAATCTTTTGTTTCTCAGAAAAGGCTTTTTGTGGCCTACAGGGACTGTCACTGTCTCCTGTTGTGAAGCAGAGCTGCAGAGTGCTCCTCACATGCCATTTCAGTGGAATCTCTCCCAGTGAAAGGAGCCACTCCATCTGATCCACAGCATTAGGACTGTAATGGAAACAGTGCAGTGTTGAAACAGAAGGGCAGAGAACCCTGCAGGTCATTATAGCTTTGCTCGCCAGTTTTTTGTGACGCTATGGGAACTGAGCTATTGACCACCGGCTCCTTTCCCTCGCATTTATTCCTTCATTGAAATGAATTTGGCACTTTTAATTTTCTCTAATAGACGGGTTGCAGTTTTAAGAAAAAAGTCAGTGGTAACTTGCAGCTTAAACACCGTCGTTCACGATAGTAAGTACATTTTAATCTTCTTATAGATGAGAAAACGGTTTGTACCTGGAAAAACTAGAGCAAGTAAATTTTTGCCTCTGCTGGCATTATTTATGCATGAGGCTAATCTGGGGCTTGGAGATGGGTCTTGGTGGCAGCAGTCAAGGACACTTATGCAGTTTTGTGGATGTACTCCTTTACGGTCATTTTACATCAGGCAATTTCAAAGTAAACATTACTTTTCTTCCCTCTGCCTGTGTGCAAGATAGGTGACATTCTGATCTTTTTCACCCTGTCAGCCACAGGCATTTAAATCTTGCAGACATCAGATTTTTATGGACAGAGAGTTCTTACCAAATATGGGGATTTCTTTCAAATCCATTCAGGCGTCGTCGATTGAAAAATAAATAAAATGAAGTGACACTAAAGTGTTTGGGTTAGAGTTGAACCCGGGCCATTGGATTTAGCCTGAGCACCCTGTAAACTAAACTGGCGCCCAGTTTAGGCACACTTGTTCTGGTAATGCAAATCTAATTAGCCAATCACATGGTAGCACCTCATTCAAGCATATAGATGTGGTCAAGACAAGCTGCTGAAATTCTAACCAAACATTAAAATGGGGAAGTGGGAAGTGAGGAAGTGAGTCTAAACCTGGCATGTTTGTTGCTGTCAGAGTATTTAAGAAAATGCTGATTTATTGGAATTTGAATGGTCCAAAATATCCAGTCAGGGGCAGTTCTCTGGGTGAGAATGCTTTGTTGATGAATAGCCAGAGTGCTTCCAGCTGATAGGAATGCAACAGGAACCCACAACAGACTTTTGAAGCAGATGTGCTTCAAGGGTGCTTCAAACAGGACACCAGGTACCACTCGTGTCTCAAAGAACAGGAAACTGAGGCTAGAATTTGCACAGGCCAGACAGAGCAAAATTGGATAATAGAAGATTGGAGAAATGTTGCCTGGTCTGACGAGTCTCTATTTTTAATGCAACATTCAGATGGCAGAGTCAGAATTTGATGTAAACAACATGAAAGCATTGACCCATCCTGCCTTGTGCCAACATTTCAAGCTCCTGGCGGGGGTGTAATGGTTTGGGGGATATTTTCTCAGCACATTTTGGGCCTCTTAGTCCCAACTGAGCACCATCCTACCCGAGTACTATAGCTGACCATGTCCATCCCTTTATGACCACAGTGTACCCATCTTCTGAGGATAAAACACAATGTCACCAAGCTCAGATTAGCTCAGACTGGCAGCAAGTTCACACTTTAAGATGTTATGGAACAGGAGATTCTCATCATGGATGTGCAGCCAAGAAAACTTTTATCAAAAAAACAAAAAACTAAAGACATCTCCGTGTGTACCTTCTGTTATTTCATTATTTTCTATACAGTGCTATGTTGTTCCTGCCATGTTGATCAAATCATAATCATTCTTATGTAACTTTAATTTCCTGCTGCGTAGCTGCTAAATATTTTTAGTCTTGCGTGTCTCAGGTAGTAGTCTAACTCTACCTGCGAGTATGTGGCACTTCTTGCTGTCGTGCTGTTTTACATGTCTGTCATAGTTTCTTTGCTCTCATGGGAAGCTGCATGTGGCTGCTTCTCCTGTGGATAGCTGACTGATACAGTTTCTTCTCAGCATCTGTTGCAGCGATTGGTCCTCCTTCTTAGCTCGCACAGGCTCATTACCCTGATACAGACGAACACATGCTGAGATAGGGGCTGACACCAGGATAGCAGGCACTTCAAAAAGAAGTGGGAGGCATTATGGCTGGAGAAATAACAGCATGGTGTAGAATCTGATGTAAAGACAGAGGTGGTGCAGCATGAAGCCTGTTTTCCTCTGAGGATTCCTCTTACTGTAAATGCTGGCTGATGTACTGTAGTTATAATGTTTGACTTCAGTCACATGTATTTTTAATGATTGGACAACAGAGCACAAATATTACAGTATAGATGTGTAAAAAAATATCTTTAGTAGACTTGCAGGTATTTGCTAATTAATGAAAAATAATTTGTGATATTATCTGTTTTGGAGAAAGACCCTCTCATCTGTCAAAAGTAAGCCAGATGAGGATTAACACCCCAACTCCTGATTTATGCAGATCCTCCTATTGAATATCAGGAGCACTGTCTGGCTAATTATAGCATGCAAGCGATAGCGCCGGAGACACTGAAATCCTGCCTGTGAATTTTCAGTTCATCTTTGTGGCTTTATCGCATCCATGTTTACACTGATGCACACCAGCATCATACATGGAAACATGTCTCTGGGCCAACAGCGGCTGCAAGTGTAGGCAGCCCTTCCCTTGGAATTGTTATTGAGGTGTAAAATGTGGGCAAGCAAACCTTTTAGCCTTTAGTGAATATAGGTGATGTGGGATTTTAGAGTCCGTGCAGAGGAGTGCATTACAGAGCTGGAGTGACTAGCTTTTGTCTGTGTGGGTAGAGGCTCGTTTACCTTGCTGAGAGGGCTATTACACCGGGCACATCGCCCTGTGGCTCCTCACGTGTGCTGACGAAGAGGAGAAAACTGTGACCTCCGTGGACTTTGGGCAAAATTCATATGATGAAATTCACTTGTGGTCAGTCTCCTCTGTTCTCTCGTCTGGGCCGATCCTATGTCATATCACATTTAATAAGTTTTATGAAATGCATTTGTTGTGTTATCACAACAGTCCCGGGGGCAGGATAATCAGTTTTCTATGTAAACAATAACAGGAACAGAATACATGCCAAAACAAAATTGGCTCAGCTTGAATAACTGCTTCCACATTAAAATATTTTCATTAAAGCTCTTTCTTTACACTGGCAAAGCTGGTAAAAACCAATACAAAACCCAAAACATTTTTTCTTTCCTATTATCTTGCATTGATACAGAATGCCTCGATGTGTTTGAAAGGTCAAAATCGTGGGAGTAAAGCCTGTATTCAGTTGGAAAGGAAGGCCGTTTTTTTTCCTCGATGAAAATGGATTTAACTTCAGTTGAAAACATTTAATTGTTGAAGGGGATATTAGAGCTGCTTTCATACTGTCGTATCACTTGCCCAACCTATTGAACAGAAAGTCTATTAATGTCAGTGGAGCACTGTTACTGGAGTATTTTAGTGCATTAGCTGGAGCATGTATTCAAAAATAAGAATACATTAATGTTACACGGGTACCTGCATGTTTGTCTTGTGAACCATAATCAGTGATGCCTTGAAACTACAAGCTGATAATTTATTATAGTCCCAGATTATGGCAAAGTCCTTAGATTGTAACAACAACAATAATGAGTACCTTGGAGATGCATAATACCCATTAACTATTTTATGTATATCATGCGTGGAACTGCCAGTTATCACACACCGCGTATTTCCTGTTGCCACTAGGCGGCGCTATAAGTGCAGCTCTATTAGAGATTGAAAATGTGACGTCATTCAAGGGTAAAACCGCAAAGAATTCTGGGAACTCGTGGCAAGAGGTACTAGCGCACGCAGGCTTTCAATTGAAATCAGTTACACAGCGATAAAAAGAAACACAAAAAACTGTCAAGAAGCTGTTGTATTATTAACTG